AGCTGGGAAATAAATAGAGAGAGGAGGGTTGGAGCTGGGGAAGGTAGGTGGGATGGTGATCGATGAGTGCAGGTAGGCAGTGGTGGGGATTGGTCATTGAGGTGGGAGGCGGTTTGGTGAGAAAGAAGATGGACAGGTTGTGTCAGGTCAAGGAGGTGGGGATGAGAGGGAGGGTTGGTCATGGGAGGAGGCCAGGGTTGGGGAGATTTTGAAATTGGTAAAGTCCACATTGAGACCATTGGGTTGTAGGCTTCCAGGGTGGAATATGAGGTGCTACTCTTCCAGTTTCCAGGTCGTGCCATTGTGACTCTGGAGAAGGCCCAGAATGGACACGTCACCCAGGGAGTGGGAGGGGGAGTTGAAATGGTTCACGACTGGAAGGTGTTGTTGTTTATCATGAACAGAGTGCAGGTGCCCTACAAAGTGTTCTCCGAGCCTCAGTTTGGTCTCGCCAATGTAGAGAAGACCACATCAGGAGAAGCGAATACAATAGACTACACTGACGGATCTGCAGGTGAACCTCTGATGTGAAAGGGTTTTTTGGTTCCTGGGATGGAGGTGAGGGGTAGGTGTAGGGGCAGGTGTAGCACTTCCTGCAGTTGCAGGGAAAGGTGCCAGGGGTGGTGGGGCTAGTGGGAAGTGTGGAGCGGACGAGGGAGTCGCAGAGAGACCAGTCCCTACGGAAGGCAGATAAGGGTGGGGAAGGAAATATATCTTTGGTTGTGGGGTCAGATTGCAGGTGGCGGAAGTGGCGGAGAATGACACGTTGGATCCGGAGGTTGGTGGGGTAACACGTGAGGACAAGGGGGATTCTGTCTTTGTTTTTGTTGCGGGGAGGGGATGTGAGGGCAGAGGTGCAGTAAATGCAAGAGATGCGGTCAAGGGCATTTTCGACCACCGAAGGGGGAATTTGCGGTCCTTGAAGTAAGAGGATATCTGGGATGTTCGGGAGTGGAATGCCCCATCTTGGGAGCGGACACAGTGGAGGCAGAGGAATTGGGAGTAGGGGATTGCACTCTTGCAGGAAGGTGGGTGAGAGGAGGTGTAGTCTAGGTAGCTGTGGGAGTTGGTGGGCTTGAAATAGATTTCAAGGTGGTCGCCAGAGATGGAAACAGAGAGGTCCAGGAAGGAGAGAGAGGTATCAGAGATGGTCCAGGTGAACTTGAGGTTGGGGTGAACGGCGTTAGTAAAGTTGATGAACTGTTCAAGCACCTCGTGGGAGCACGAGGCGGCGCCGATACAATCATCAATGTAGCGGAGGAAAAGATGGGGGATGGGGCCACTGTAGCTGCGGAAGAGCGACTGTTCCACATATCCTACGAAGAGGCAGGCACAGCTTGGGCCTATGCAGGTTCCCATGGACACCCCCTTAGTCTGTAGGAAGTAGAGTATTTTTTATTCATCTTTCTTTCTAATTAATGTGTTCAGAGATGTTATTACACATCTTTTAGAGTGGCTGGGACTTGAGCCCAGGCCTTCTGGTCCAAGGGTAGGGACACTACCACTGCACCACAGGAGGTTCCAAGTGGAAAATATTTTTCTCTAGCACCTGAAATTTTCTGCTGTATTCTGTAAAGTGCACGAACAATGCAAATTACAACACAAGTGTGAAAGGGGAAGATCTCATCGATTCTTTCAGTAAATTTGCTCATGTTTTAATGCTGCACAGACTGTGGTCAAACTAACTATGAAATGATAATGATCAGAGATTGTGCGCTAAACTCCAACCTAGCTGTAAACAACATCACAGAAGAATAACATAACAATAATTACAGCATCTTTTGTCCCATATTTCCGAAATAAGTTATGAATTTTGCTTCTTCTCATTTTCTTCTCATCTAGGTCTGTCTTTTGTATCTTAATTTGTCCCATTGCCAGCTCCTTTTGCCTTGCACCATTACTCATTTTGTCATTTAATTTCTTCTTCATTGCATCCTATCATGCACCTTAGCTCTTGCGCCTTTCCCTTCCTGCCTCTGTATTTGTCTAAAACACATTATAGTCTCTTTTTCTAGTTCTAACAAAGGGTTATTGATCTGAAAGTTGAATTTGTTCCTCCTTCCCCAAATGCTGCCTGACCTATTGTGCATTCGTAACATTTTCTGTCTGTTTTTGCAGAGAATATCTTTTGTTGCAACATTTGATTTGAAATTGCCAATGTGTCTAGGGATGTGTAAGTTAGCCATGGATTAGCTATGGGAAATGTAGGGTTACAATGATATGGTGGGATGCTCTTTGAAGGGTCAGTGTGGACTTGTTGGGCCAAATGGCCTGTTTCCACAGTGTAGGGATTCTATGAACAGCTCTCTCAAAGTATAGCATCCTCTCTTTAACAATTCAAAGACCTATTAAGAAATGCTCTGCTGAAGCATGGGATAAGAGGAGGGAACTATCTGGTTTATTAATGCACCTGCTATAAATTATTGTTAAATGATTTATGAGTTATCTCCAGTGATGAGCTCAGTGCTTATAATTACACAACTAATCCTTCTCACCTTAATTACTATGATTGCATTTCAATATAGTTTGGTTGGAGAACTCAGTAGGGTTTTAACCACAGTGCCATAATATTTTTCTCTCAGTAAGAAATAAGAATATTTGAAATGAATGTGAATTTTCAGCACTTCTGTGCTTATTTAAATAGCAAATCATCATGTCAAATTGGCTAAGCTTGCACTGGAAAAATGATGTGTTCTTAAAGTAATTTTCCCATCATTCCTTGCAAGTGCTAAAACTATGTAATTGCAATCAAAGTGGCAAATAACTGGAAGGAAAATAATGCAAAAATCAAAAATAAATTCATAGCAATTAAGATTCAGTAATGAATCACAAGAGTTTATTTCCTCATTAAATTACAACCAATGGGTTATGCTTAACAAGGACATTGTGATAAATGGGACACTTGCATTTTCAACAGAGCTCATTAATTAGCAGTCTTCAATGATATTTTGATCAGCTACTTTATCAGCTTAAGCTGCTCTGCTTCATCACTTGGATTCGTTTTTAAAATCAAATTTACCTGTATATATATAGAGTTAAACTATCATACTAGAACTTAGTTACATTTTAGTCAATTCATTGTCTTAATTTTTAATTCAAGCGTCTGCAGTTTTTCATTACTGACTGACTTATTTCATAATAACAATTTATTGAAAGTAATGGAGGACAGGTTGAGGCACAAATATAATTTAAAGTATGTAAATGAAGGTCTCTAATGAAACCATTATGATCAATCTAGATATTACATTAAACAGCCCTTTAACTGGTGTGCAATTAATCATGACAGTTAGATCTTTGTAATTCCACAATTCTGTCCCTCATTTGTTATTTTTTAATATGTGTTCTATGTAAATCAGCGATTTAATTCTGTCTTCAAATATCCAATTGTATTGAACTTTGTAATGGTGCCTCGGTGCACGGGTGTAAATGGGGAGCCTTCATGATTGTCTGGAACATTCCCGGCAAGATTCCCAGAGCAAGCAGACATACGAACAAAATTCATCCTGCTCTCCACTCTGGTATAGCCTGTACAGTTTCTTTTTAACTAGCCTTTAACATTGGTTGATCACTTGACTCTCTCAGCCTCACTGTGCCTGCAAGGAAGATCATTTATAGATATACTTGTTTTATTCAATATTCTGCCAAAGTCCTACAAATGTTAATTATTTTCATGCATAGGAGAAGAGTAGTTCTTAAAGGGTTGGGGTACTTTTTGTGAATGTTGAGTTGAATTGATGTGTATTCTTTTCCCAGTCAGAGAGCTTGATGATCAAGCCATAGGAAGAGGCTGAAAAGGCTGGGGGTATTTTCACTGGGGCATCACAGGCTGAGGGGTGACCTTATAGAGGTTTATAAAATCATGAGGGGCATGGATAGGGTGAAGAGCCAAGGTCTTTTTCCCAGGGTAGGGGAGTCCAAAACTAAAGGATATAGATTTAAGGTGAAAGGGGAAAGATATAAGAGGGGCATAAGGGGCAACTTTTTCACACAGAGGGTGGTGCATGTAGGAATGAGCTGCCAGATGAAGTGGTGGAGGCTGGTACAATTAAATATTTAAAAGACATCTAGATGGTACATGAATAGGAAGAATTTAAAGGGATATTGTCCAAATGCTGGTAAATGGGACTAGATTAATTTAGGATATCTGGTTGGTATGGATGAGTTGGACCAAAGGTTCTGTTTCTGTGCTGTATAACTCCGTGACTCTATAATAGGGGCTGCAACAAATTGTACCTTAATGTTTATTTTCTGCTTTTATGCAGTTCCTTTGTTCTGGTATATGCAACAGAACAAAGGAACTGCATAAAAGCAGAAAATACTGGAAAAAGAAAGTCAAATTGGACAGCATCTGTGCAACAAAACAAAGTTAATAATTCAGGTCTATGAGCTTGCATCAGAACTGGGAAATGTTGAGGTACAGTAGATTGTAAGCAAGTGGTGGGAGGACACAAAGAAAATGAAAGGCTGTGATAGAATGGAAGACAAGAGAGCTTGAACAGCAGACTGATCCAAAGGGCATGGAAATAGTGCAAGGAAAAACGAGGGGTGATTTCTTCTCATTTTCAGAATTACATGTCCACTCAACGATTATCACCTGTCTCATCCTCCCACCTGACCTCTGCACTTTCTACTCACTGAACGGGGGCGCCTCCCCACCTTTCCTGCTGATGCATGACCATAACTGCTCTTGCATCCACTTCCATCACGCTCAACCACCTCCCCCACCACCTTTCTTCAATTGCAGGAAATATAGGCCCATACACACAGGCTGAAGACGGTCAGGGAAATGAAAGATATCAGGCTGCTCATGGGGACAAAATTCTGGATTTGGCTGGAGAAGAACAAGGCTGCTCATGTGGGGATTTGTGTGATATACAAACATGCCAAACATGTCAACTTCATTGTTCTGTGCTTCTCCCCCAGTATCACCAGTGCTAACTCATTCTTAATCTGCACAAGCTTTTATTCCACTTCTACAATTTATTCGCTCTGTTACGCAGGCTCTGATGGCATCCAGTAGACCTTCACTGATACTGAGCACGACCTCTATCTCCGAGGAAGAATTCTACTGACTCTCAGGGAAAGCAACAGCAAGGAGTCCATCTCTACAAGGTCAGAGACTTTCCCCTTGGTGTGTACACTTTCCAGATGAGATTCGGTAGCACAAGCTGGTGAGGACTTCACTGCCACGCCTCTGTGGCAGAAACACCCCAGGCTGCTGGCATTGAGAGGACTGCTGGTGACCAGGAACATGCTCAACCCCTGTTGAGACGAGCCCCTGTCCTTGGCCGTTAATGACTTGGTCAAACTGCAACAGCAAACACAGGAACATCAGGCAGGGGTGCCAGGTCAGATAGTAAACTCAAATAAAGTGAGTGAGTGTTAAGAAGGCAAGTTAAGAGCCGTAAGATTTCACATGTTCATGTCCAAGCAAATATAATTTGTACAAAGACATGAGGCATATAGTTGTTCCTGCTCACGAAGCAGCCAGTCAGAAGCATGCAGGTCATCTGTCAGCTCCAAACCAAAGTGTTTGAGGCCCAGAATAGTGGCTGAGTTGGTTCAAAAGAATCATGACTCTGGTGCTTTGCTGATATAAGGTTGTATGGATAATGGCCAAGTTGAAAATGTGGATATTGAGCAACTGAGCCGTATAGTGATTGAATCATAGAATCCTTACAGTGTGGAAACAGGCCCTTTGGCCCAACAAGTCGACATCGAACCTCACAGCATCCAATCCAGACCCATCCCTCATAAGCTAATCTACACATCCCTAAACACTATGGATAATTTAGCATGGCCAGTCCACCCAACCTGCACATCTTTGGACTGTGAGAGGAAACTAGAGCACCTGGAGGAAACCCATGCAGACACGGGGAGAATGTGCAAACTCCACACAGACAGTCACCCGAGGGTGGAATCGAACCCGGGTCCCTGGCACTGAAGTGCTTAAAAAGGCTGGCAGCACTCCAGGTAAAGAAGTCACCAGGCCCGGATGTGATGCATTATAGATTATTGATAGCGATAGGGGAGCAAATCATGGAGGCATTGACAGTCTCTCTGAATACAACATTAGTCCCAGGAGACTGGAGGATTGCAAATGTGAGATTATTGTTTAAGAAAGGGACAAAGGATAATTCAGGAAACTACAGACCTGTCAGCTTGACACCAATAATGGGAAAATGATTGAGGCCATAATACAGAATAAGGTAAATATACACTTAGAGAAAAATAAGCTAATATTAGAGAGTCAACACAGCTTTGTCAAGGGCAAGTCACGTCTGACAATTGTGGTAGAGTTCTTGATGAGATGACACAGTCAGTGGGTAAGAGTAGTACTGTGGATATTGTATATTTGGACTTTCAGAAAGCATTTGATATGGTGCCACATGGTAAGTTGGTTAACAAATTAGAAATATTTGGCATTGATGGGTCCTTGGCAGCATGGATTAGAAGTTGGCCAAAAGATAGGAAACAGAGGTTATGTATAGATGGGCATTTCTCAGGTTGGAGACAAGTTTAAAGTGGTATTCCCCAGGGATTTGTGTTGGGACCCTTGATTTTTCTAATTTATATAAACAATTTGGAGATGGGTGTTAAGGGCAAAATCTGTAAGTTTGCAGAAGAAACTAAGGGAGGGAGAATATTGAATTGTGAGGATGATGCTGAGTGACTTCAGGGATGTTGACATGTTGGTCAATTGGGCAGATACCTGGCAGATGAATTTCAATGCAGAGTAATGTAAGATAATACTTTTTGGTAGAAGAAACATGGAGAGACAATACAGACTTAATGCTACAACTACAAGGGGGAGTACAGGAGGAGAGCGACCTTGGGGCTCATGTGCATGATTCTCTGAAGGTGACCAGACAAGATGAAACAGTGGTTAAGAAGGTTTCTAAGATCCTTGGGTTTATAAATAGAGGCATTGGGGATAAAAGCAAGGAAGTGGTGCCACACCTCTATAAATCATTGGTCAGACCACATTTGGAGTATTATGTTCAATTCTGGGCATCTCACCTAAGGAAGGATGTTGAACCTCTGGAGTGCAAAAAAGATTTACCAGAATGATAACAGGAATGAGAGATTTTAGATACAAGGAAAGATTAATTGGGCTTATTCTCCTTGGAACAGAGAAAATTAAAAGGTGACCTTATCGAGGTGTTTAAAATAATGAATAATTTTGATAGGTTAAAGAAGAATATTCTGTTTCCATTAGTTGGTATGTTAGTAATTAGAGGTCACAATTTGAAGATTGTCAGCAAGAGAGCTAGGACTGAGTTGAGGAGAAACTTCTTTACTCAGAATTGTCAGGGTTTGGGATACACCATCTGGGAAAGTGGTGGAGATAGATTCCATAGGAGGTTTCAAAACAGAGCTGGATATATATTTGAAACTGATGAAATTAGAGGGCTACAGGACTAGGGCTAGAGAATGGGATTAGGTGGGTGGTCTTTCTGGAGCCAGTACAGTCAGGATGAGTTGATGGGCCTCCTTCTGTGCCTAGAAATTCTATTACCCTGTAAGATTCAAGGAGGATGATGGCCATAGAGCATGCAGGGATATTTTGTAGAAGAAGCTGTGGTCTGATGGCCAGCTCATGCATTTGGTGAGCTGCAATCTCCAGGTACCTGCTCTCTTTTCCATGTCAGGAAATGGCACCATCTGGTTTCTTGATAGAGGAGTGAAGAATTGGGATTGCGTCATAAATAAAGAGTATTGAGATTTTCATGGGATGCAAATGCAGGGATATGAGATGACCACCACTCAAGAGTGAGATTTTGAAGTTGCCATTTACAGCTTGAGGGGGAAACCAGGTGAATTGTTCTCAATGTTGGGAATCTAATGTTTCCATTATCACCATACTTTGGCACCATGCCTGCCATTTCTTTCTCCTCACCAGGGAAGGGAATATCCCACCCATGGTATATATCTATTGCTTATGATTTACTTCCTCTCTGCATTAAATTTCACCTGCCATTGTTACCCTCATGTATTAATTCGACTCATTCTGAAATTTTTGAGCCATTTTCTCAATTGACTGCAGCTCCCTGTTGGCCATCCTCTGTTTAATCTGACCGTTTTACATTGAAGTGGCTGATGTAAATTAGAAACACTAGTAGTCCTCACACTAAGTCCTGAGGCACTCCACTCAGTTCTTCCTTTCAATGATTCCCCACCATCCCAATCCCAAAGAGGAGAACATAATACTGTTTGCCATTGTTTGGTCTGTTACAGAACTTCCATTAACATTGGCAATCTGGTATCCAGACAGCCAGAGTCACAATCATGACTTTGATCTAACTGCACATGTACACATTTTGTGTATATATCTTTGCCATTTGTCACTGAAATTATTGTATATAAAAACAGAGCAGAGTTGAGATCTAAACAACTAGTGCAATATATGAAAAACTTCCTAGTCCAGAAAGATTACATCTTTAAAAGTAGAAATAAACAATAATTAAATAAGAAATCAATATTTACTACAGTTGAATTAAACAGATGGCAACCCTTGAGCCTGGATTATTTTCTTCGGTTCTGGCAGGACATTACTTTCACTGGTTCACATTTGATCTATTTCTTTGGTTCTCATTGCATCTGACATGAAGAGAGTGTGCGCTTCTGTGAAGACAGAAATACTGATAACACCACAGCAGGACTGCTACTGCGTCGCTCAGAAAAACACAACAATGCACTTTCAAAAGGACAACCCTGGAGTCCAACTCAGCAGCAGAGGCGTTGGCATGACAGAAACCGAAGGCATTTTAAGGATTCGGTTTCATTTACATTGAATTATGAATCTGCGAGTACTTAAACAATGCTCATGGTAGTTTGTTGATCAGGGTTGATAGCTTTTCTGTTGGGTTGAGGCAAAGATTCAATGTAAAATAAAACGGGGACAAGGTGTAAATTTTGGCAAGGGGAATGGTTGAATTGTGAATGGGGCTTTCAAATATTATGGTGTTCTGAGTAGCATCATGACTTCATAGAAATCCTTACAAAACAAAGGATCTTTACATGACATGCTCTGAATTTGTAATGGCCCAAAATGTTCACTCTAGGGTTTGCTGCTCGATCTCTCAATGTCTATATCAATAAGCAGAGCAGAGATGGCGCACATTCTGCCTAATGGTACCTCCAGATTGTGTCAGGGCTTTAGGTATATCACAGAATCCTGCTAAAATTAGTTTCCCTCTAAAGCAGGGAAGTGACCATGTTAACCACACCGAGATCCCTGGGAAAATGGAGAAAGAATAAAGTTGTGCATTCCGATAATTTTGGAGATGGGGGCTCATCTGTCTGATTCTCATTTAGTTGTGGGAGCTAAAATCAACTCTTTGGGGTCTAAATTGCTAACATGCATTTTCCTTTTGGGCATTGTTTGATCAGTTGTCCACCTCTTGCAGTTTTTGTCTCTAGTTCTTTATTTATTTTAATCAGCTGATAAATTTTGAATAGTATGCAAGTACTGAACCCAAACCTCTTCGTAATTGGTGTGATCTCTGGTTCTTCCAACTTCCCTCTTTTATTTCTCTCTATTTTCAACCTTTATGAAAATGCTTGTTCATTTTTAATGAATAATTCTAATGAAAAGCAAACCCAAAACATCATAACTTCTTAATTGTGCCAAATTGTGTGTTTCCTCATTTTTGGTGTCCATTTCAGATTTCCAGCATTTGTCCTTGTCTTTTTCATTTGACAAAGTGTTAAATACTGTACGGAATGATGCAACTATTCAGATGAGTGATGGCACACCAATTCAGCATTGTTTGGAAACCATGTGTTGTATGGCTTGTGTGTTTGAAGGATTTGTGTGAAGCTGTTCCACAGTTTGCTATTCCCCTGATTCAAACTGTTAATTTGTTAAAATTAAAATAGGTGAAATAGATGGTCTGACAATTAATTACCAATTATGATTAACTTACTGGTGAATCATTTTAGAATTGGATCAAATTGTACCAGTTTCATTAACTTCTCGCCATATAAAGGTCTGCAGCTGATAAACATTTCAAACAATGACCTGGGTCATCCCTTGATACATGTATGTCTCGCTCCATCCCAATTACTGCTGGTTCAGAGCAATTTCAGTGCTTTTGATGTACAGAATCCAACACAAGCAACCTTATTTAAGTTGTGCTTTCATTTAAAAAAGCAATAACCATTAGTCATTTCCATTAAAGCCATTTTCAATGCCATTATTGCTCTGTGTGTTTTGGGAAGATGCAGCTGTGTATTCACTCATCAATCACACACAAATTGTTACCCTTTTATTACCTCTGTAACTCACAGAGCTAATGCCAGGCATGCATATTGCTGACTTAAATTGATCGTGTTGAATTAACATATCTCAGAATTCCTTCCTTCTGGACTCCCAAGAAACACATTTTGTTCTCTATTGAGATCCCAAGCACTCTGGTTCAGCTGAAGGCCAGTTCTTCAAAGATTTCATCTACCATTTCTGTATGAATCCTGTTAGACGTTCTTTCTCCTCAACATTTTACAGATGAGAGAGTCATCTAACAAAGGTTATATGAGTCTGTCAGGCACTGGCTCATCAAACCCATGAGATCATGGGTTTGTTGAGTCTACACTTGTTCTAGCAAATATTCAATGACAGGGAGGTTATTTGGCAGTAATTAAAATAAGAACAGAAGTAGGCCATTTAGCCTTTTCCGCATCTTCCAACAATCATGGCTAATAAGTGACCGAACCTCATACATCATATTTCTACCATTCTGTGTAATAAATTTTGTTACTTAAAATTAACGTTAAATTAATGACTATCACGCCATTGTAAAGTCATGTTGATTGAAATGGACAACAAATAACTTCCTGTGCTGAATTTTGTTTGTATCTGTGGTGCAACACAGCAACTTCACACCATTTGATGCATTTCATTGTGAGACAGGTAACAAGAGGTAACATTGATAACAATTTAATATAGAAGTTGATGCTCTTTCCCAGAAACTACTGCAGTAATTGCACTTTACTCATTTTGATAGTACATTATTGTCCAGATTATCAGTATCGCATTTGACCATATCTTCTCAAAATTGCAAAGTATCACAGCTCCTAAATCTGTAACGTTACAACCATTTGAGTTTTATTTTTTATAAAGTGAATTTTAATTCATTTCATAGGATGCGTTTGTCAAAGGCAAGGCTAGCATTTGTTGCATGCTCCTAATTGCCCTCGAACTGAGTAACTTGCTTGACCATTTCAGAAGCTGGTAAAGCATCAAACACATTGCCCAGTGTCTGGAATTATATGTAATTGGTTAAGGATGGCAGATTTTCTTCCCTATAACGATTAGTGAACAGTACGGACTTTCAACATAATAAACATTAACTGTTCTGGTCACCACTACTGTGATTAGATCCAGATTTATTCAATGAATTTAAATTCGACCAGTTCCATAGTGGTATCCAAACCTATATACTCAAAGTATTAACCTGGATCTCTTAATTACTTATTGAGTGATACTACAACTCCACGTGCATACTTCCCCATTATCAACATCTTACAAAGTGAATTGACCAGAAACTTCGTTAAATCATATCAATAATTTAGCTTGAAAGTAAGGAAGAGGTAGGAATATAGGAGCATGGGAACAGGGCTGGGCCATTCAGCCCCTTAAGCCTGTCCCACCATTCAATAAGATCATGGCTGATCTGGGCCTAACTCCATATACCTCCCTTTGGTCCATGTCCCTTAATATCTATTGCTTACCAAAAATATACCTATCTAAACTTTAAATTAACAATTAATCCTGCATCCACTGTCATTTGCAAAGGAGAGTTCCAAACATCTACCACACTTTGGGTGTAAAAGTGCTTCCTTCACCTCCCCTGAATGTTCTGACCCTTATTCTCAAATAATACCCCCTAGTTCTAGACCCCCTCAACCAGTGGAAATAGTTTATCTTCAACTATCCTGACTTTTCCTCTAAAATTCTGAAGACTTCAATTTGATCACCCCTTACCGTTCTAAATTCTAAAGAGAACGTGCCCAATATGTATATTCTATCCTCATACTGTAACCCCTGATGTCTAGGTATTAATCTTGTAGACCTATGTCGTACTTCATCCTTCCAAATGCTCACAGTACTCCAGGTGGGGTCTAACCAGGATTTTATATAACTTCAGCATAACTTCCTTATACTCTAATCCTCTAACTATAAAGACCAGCATTCCATTAGCCTTCTTGATTATTTTCTGCATCAGTTCATGATATTTTAAAGATCTATGCACCTGAACCTCTAAGTTGCTTTGGATAGCCACTGTATTAAACTTCATACTATCTAGAAAGTAACGTGATCTATCCTTTATTGGTCCAAAATGGATCACCTCACAACAGCTTACATTGAACTTTATCTGTCAGGGTTTTGTCATTCACTTAGTTGATCAATATCCCATGTAATTTTATGCTGCCATCTACACTGTCTACAATGTTGCCTAACTTTGTATCATCAGCAAATCTGATATATGACTTTCAATGTTATTGTCCAAGTAGTCAATAAATAATGTGAATAATTGAAGACCTAACACACATGCTTGTGGGACACTACTGGTCAAATTCTGCCAATTTGAGTACCTACCCATTATTCCTACTTTGTATCACCTGCCACTCTCAATTCCACTCTCAATTAACAGTCTCACAGGCGGACTTTATCGAATACTTTCTGAAGTGTATATAAACACAGACACTTCCCTGTCCACTACCTTAACCACCTCTTCAAAAAAACTCAATGAGTTTTGTTAGGCATGACCTATCTGTCACGAATCCATGATGACTCTCATTAATAAACTAAAAATTTTCAAGTTGTTCAGTTACCCCATCCTTGATTATAGACTCCAAATACTTCCCCACTGCAGATATTAAGCTAACTGGTCTCTAATTCCCTGGTTTTCCTTTTTCGCCCTTCTTAAAAAGTGGAGTGACATGTGCAATCCAGATAGATGACTCCTGCATCTAGAGAACTTTGAAAGACTATAGGGTAGTTTATGACCTGATCCTTGAAGGTCTCTATCATCTGTAACATTCTAGCCAAAAGTGTGACTCAATAGCACCACATGATGGAATAGCAGCTACTGCCACAATTTGTCTTGACCAATATTTATCACCTAATCTACACCTATAAAACATTATTACATTGCTCTTTTGGGGCTCCAGTGTCTGTCCCGCAGGCCCGACCAGTCCTCCTCCACTGATACCCTTATCCGCTTAGCTGAACTCGTCCTCACCCTTAACAACTTCTCCTTCAATTCCTCCCACTTCCTACAGACAAAGGGGGTGGCCATGGGTACCCACAATGCCCAAGCTATGCCTGCCTCTTTGAGGGATACGTGGAACGATCCCTCTCCTGGAGCTAACCTGGCCCTATCCCCCACCTCTTCCTCCGTTACATTGATGACTATCGGCGCTGCCTCGTGCTCCCATGAGGAGCTCGAACAGTTCGTTCACTTCAACCTTAAGCTCACCTGGACCATCTCTGATACCTCTCTCTCCTCCCTGGACCTCTCTGTTTCCATCTCTGGCAACCACCTAGAAATCAATATCCATTTCAAGCCCACTGACTCCCACAGCTACCTAGAAGACACCTCCTCCCACCCACCTTCCTGCAAAAATGCCATCCCCTATTCCCAATTCCTTCGCCTCCGCCGCATCTGCTCCTGAGATGAGGCATTCCACTCCCGGACAT